ATATGCGTGATAGGCTCGACAAACCATGAATCTCGCGAGCAAGGCTAGATTAGTTAGCAAAAGGTAGAACTGAGAGAAAAAAAAAGAAGAAATAATGTTGTTATCGTACAAAGACGAGCGATTTGTCATGTGTTCAAAAACAAAAAAAAGAAGATGAAAAACAAAGTAGAAGGGTAACAGGGAGGCGAGATAGGGTTGATTTCATAAACGGTTGCTCAAGGCACTGCCACAACTCCATGATTTTTCGTTTTCTATCCCGTGAAAATCACGGGAGTATCCGTACTTATATAGTTTCTCTCTCTCGTTAGAGTAACCGTGAATCTATATTTCATCGCGTGTTTTGATCGTAGAGTGGATTAACAACTGGATTCCGTTATATTTTTCCGTTGACAAATTTCCGTGCTAATATACATGTTATAGCTGTTATTAAATACCGAGAGAAAAAAAATAATCGAGACCCAAGTATGAAGGATGAAACGCCCCGTATTACCCAAATGAAAATAAAATAAGATATTAAAAGAAGAGAGAAATAATAATAATGAATTAAAAAAAAATGTGTCGGCTGTGAGCTTCCAAGCAAATAACAATAATTAAATTATTATAATATTAAAGGTTAAATAATATTCTACCTAATTGTTACGAAGGTGGATTTCTTTTACCTGTAAATGTGAAACAAATTTGTTATCTCGTATCTCGCATACCGTAGCTATGATTGTCCATTTGAGAAAAAAGAGAGAAAGAAAGGAAGAACGAACGAAAGAAAGAAAGAAAGAAAGATAGATAGATAGATGAGTGAAACTTGTAGCGCCGCCATGTAAATGTTGTGACGTGTTGTTACTTGAGAATTTTGGCGACACCCGAACGTCGTGTCGGTATGTAGTTAGACGTGAAACGTGACAGACAAGGCCTAGGAGAAGGCGTAGAGACGTAATATCCGAGTGAATTGTTATGACACAAGGAGATTAATTTATTGAAAAAAGAAAAGCAAGAGTGCCTTCTATTTGTTTCCATAATTATATTGTTGAACATTTGTTGCGTTACGTTTCTCCGTAGAGCCTCTAATGTTGTTATAAAAAAAAAAAAGAGAATGTTTGAAGAATAGTTGTTCCTCTATTTATTTATTGATTTACGGGCAGTGTGATGCTAGTGTGCCCAAAACTATAGCCCCAGCAAATTCGGAAGTGTATAAGAGTATGATGTATGCTGTTGTAGCGGATCTCGCGAAACCGAAGTGTAACGAGAGAGAGAGAGAGAGAGGAGGGGGGAGGGGGGGGGAGGGGGT